CATTATGCAGATGACACAACCCTTCTTGCTGAAACTGAGGAGGACCTGAAGTGCTTGCTGCAGAGGGTCAAGGACTGCAGCCTTCAATATGAATTGAGGTTCAATGTCAAGAAGACAAAGATTCTCACTACTGGACCAATTGGCAGCATCAGGATGAATGGTGAAGAGATTGAGATTTTTCACAGCTTTAGATTGCTTGGCTCCATAGTCAACACTCTTGGCACCAGCAACCAGGAAACTAAAAGACATACTGCCATGGGAAAGTCTGCTGTTAGGGACCTCTCCAAAGAACTGAAGAGCAATGATATCTCTCTGGAGACTAAGGTGCGTCTTATACAGGCCATGGTCTTTCCAATCACGTGTTATGTGTCAGAGAGTTGGACAGTGACTAGGGAGGATAGAAGAATTGATGCCTTTGAGCTGTGGTGCTGGAGAAGAGTATTGAGTGTACCATGGACTGCTAAGAAAACAAACAGATTCATCCTGGAGAGGGTTAAACCGGGCTGCTCCTTGGAGGCAAGAATTCTGAGACTTGTCTGACATACTTTGGACATTTGTAAGGAGGGACCGGTCCTTGGAGAGGGACATCATGCTTGGGAGGGTGGAGGGACAGCGCAGGAGGGGAAGGCCCTCTACGAGGTAGATTGATTCAGTGACTGGGATAATCGGGATGGGTGTACCGGAGACAGTGCGAGTAGCACAGGACAGAGCAGAGTTTAGGGCTGTTGTACATAGGGTCGTTATGAGTCGCAAGCAACTCGACGGCACATAACAAGAACAAGCAGAAAACAAAACCAAAACCCCACTGCTCTGTACTCTGATTTCAAGCTTGTCTTCCAAATCGTTCTTGCTTGAGTTTGACCCATGAGCTTTTCAGGTAGCAATGTTTTGTCTATGCGACCCTGAGACTCCTATTTTCCATTTGTTGTTGTTATGTGCTGTGGAGTTGTTAACAACCCAGCGGGTTTCCAGAGGCAGTAAGTCGCATGGGAGAATGTCCGTCCTTCTCCCACGAAGTAACTGGTGGATTCAAACTGTGTACCTTTGGTATTGCAATGCAGCTTCTTACCATTAGCCTCTCTTAAAATGTTCACATCCCTTAAGGTTTTATTGTGTACATGCTCATGCGGCAGGTGGGAAATTTATTACATGCCACGTGTAGGGTCATGCAATTAGGAAGTGACAGGAGTCCTAAATACTGATTCTAATCCCAGTGCCTCTCTCCTCTCTAGAGCACGAGGTGCTCAAACTTTGCCATGTAAGCCTTACCCCTATTTGGAATTTTGCCCCCAAGCACCTTTTTTTCTTGGCTGCCTGTACGCGAGCTTTCCTGCAAAAACTGGACACGATGCAATTCCGGGGAGAATTAGTAGAATGCATAACAAAAACTCGACGAGCGCAGCTGCCAGCCACCAGCCAGCCACGCGCGAATCACTCCCCAGCCTGATGCACACTAGCCGCAACCCCAGAATAGGCGCGTGCGCAGAAGGGAGGGTGTGCCGGGGATTCAGGTCATAGAACGGAAGAGGGGCGGGACCGGAAGCACCTCTACGGCTTCTCGTTGCTAAGAGACGGCACTTCTACAAACAAGACCAAGGTTCTACAGATTTCTTTCTTTCTTTTGCTCTCTCGCCTTCGGGCTCTTTTGCTTCCCTTTCTCTGCTTCCGCGTCTCTAAATCCGGTTACACCATGTCGGACCCAGATACTGCTGTCTTGCGAACCACTTTTCCCTCCTACATGGCGGAGGGCGAGCGGCTGTATCTGTGCGGAGAATTCAGTAAAGCTGCCCAGAGCTTCAGCAACGTGAGTCGTGTTCTGAGCCTATCACCCCCCTGTCCATCCTTTGGGTCATTAATAACACAAAAGCCCTGATGATGTCTGGAGGACTGTTGTTTGAGTCCCTGCTTTCTTACTCCTATGCCTCTGAGTCGCTGCATCCGCTACAGATAAAACCCCACCTTTGGTGATTTTCTTCCAATTTCCAATTACTCTCTTCTTGGTTGTTGTTACTACCACCCCTTCTTTGCGATAGTTAGTGGTGACTCCTTCCCTTACTTTTTTTACTTAAATATTTAGTGATTGATTGACGCCTGCCCACACAGCAGCCTCAGTACCCTACTGTTGGCTAGAAGGGAGGCTGGGAGGCTGCACGTAGAAGTGGTCAGTCTGTAGCACCAGGAGTTCATTTAAAAAAAGAAAAGAAAAAGAAGCTGGTTCACATTCACTCAGAGGCACCTCGGAAGAAAGGTCTGGCGGTCTACGTTAGAAAAGTCAGTGTTTGAAAGCACTGTGGAGTACTGTTCTGCTCTGATGAAACTAAGTGACTCTGATGAACTCTGATGACATGAGTCCCAGTCCATTTATCAAACTGATCAAAAAACTAACTTTACTACAGGTAACCTCAGTATTGCTCCACACTCACCCTAAGGGGACTGACTGAGTGCTATCCTAGGATATAGACACACAGCTCAATGCAGGGTAAGCCTTTGAGGGAGATACAATCACCCCGTTTTACAGATGATGAAACTAATAGGTTGAGTAATGGGCTCAAGAACACTAGGCTAGAAAATACAGAGAAAGGATTAAAACCTAAGCCTTCAGTCTGCAGTGCTGAGGTGCTAATCAGTGTACTATAGAAAGCCACAGTGGTGGTATTAGGGCAATGTCTTTTGCTGCAGATGGTCCACTTATTAGGCCACAGAGAGTAGAAGAGCCCTCTCATCAGTCCCAAGACTCGCCTTAAACTCAGGCTTCTCAATTTCTATTCATCTTTTGTTCTTTTCTAATACCCGACCCTAAAACCAGAAGTGATTGACCGTTTGGGTCAACTGTTGCATTCTGGCGTCCTGCCTCCATCTGTTCATCCTCAGATTGCTGGACTACATTCCATCATCTAAAACCCCGGGCAAAGAGGAAAGAACACCCTGAGGGAAGGTAGCCTTGGGTGAGAAGAGGCCTCTTTCCGTGAAAGACAGTAGTAACTCCTTCCATTCGTAGCTCCTTCCGCTTCTTGGAAAAGTAGGAAGGTCTTAGAAAGGGGAGGGTGCGGTCCAATGTTTCGGAAAGGACAGTAAACTGTACACTATAGAAATGTCCAAGAGAGAAGAGAGAATAGGACGGAACTATATCACCCCCACACCAGAGCCCAAAGCACAGCTTCCGTTTTCTTGGCTTTCTTGTCATACTATTGCTAAGTACTGTCATATCAATTCTAACTCATGGCAACTCCTTTATCAGCCTTGGACATGTGTTCTGAACTTACTGTGCAGCCATTTCAAGTGGTCAGATTGAGTGTACACCAAAGAGCTCCTAAGAGTCTGTTGGGTGAGTGAACTGGTGGAATCCTAGGCATTGGTAGAAAGTCTGCAGAATAGCTTGTTATAGAATCTCAACCAATGGCTTCTGCAGTAACCTGTGGTTATCCTTGTCCATGCTGCTGACCAAAACGCAGAAAATCAAGTTAACTGAGTGAAAACCAGTGACACGCTACTTCAGGTTTGAGAAGATGCAGAGGCCTGGTTGCTCACCTGAAGACCTCCTTGGAAATTCTGGGGCTGGCTTGTGCAGGAGAGTGTCTCCCTTGCTCTTCATGGCACTTGCTGCCCTGACTGGTTCTTTCCTCAGGCTCTTCATCTCCAGAATGGAGATAAGAACTGCCTGGTTGCCCGTTCCAAGTGCTACCTGAAGATGGGAGACTTGGAGAAATCCCTGAGCGATGCTGAGGCTTCACTCCAGAGTGACCCAACATTCTGCAAGGTGACGAGACGGGTGGGAGGCTTGCGTACTTGAGTACTGCTTTCCCCACTGCCACTTCCTGCAGCAGCTTCTGGTTACAAGTAGTTGAAGAACCAGCCACCTGGCCCAGAGTTTGATGCCACTTTCCCTTCAGGGGTCTCTTGCCTAGCTTCTAGCCCCCTCTTTCTCAGCCTTAACCCTCAACTCAAGGCCTTTCTGTTCTCCCACCTCAGAGCCCTCTAAAACTTCATCTGCCTACCTTGACTAGACTCCCTCTCGTTCTAGGGGATTTTGCAAAAGGCAGAGACCCTGTACACTATGGGAGACTTCGAGTTTGCCTTGGTGTTCTATCATCAAGGCTACAAGTTGCGGCCTGACCGAGAATTCAAAGTTGGCATTCAGAAGGCCCAAGAAGCCATCAACAACTCAGTGGGGAGTGAGTGCCCATGGGTCTGTGCTCTTTCCTGGAAAGCCCTTGAGTCCTAGGCTCGAGGGAAGACACAAGGAAAGGGGATGAACAGTCACCAACCACAGAGTCACCCCACTCAGATAGGACAGAGTAGAATTGCCCACCCTTGTGGTTTCTGGGGCTGTAAATCTTTATGGATGAAGAGTGCCTCTTTCTCCCTCAGAGTGGCTAGTGGATTCTAACCACTGATTTTGGTTAGCAGCCCAACACTTAACCCACTGAACCACCAGGACCATAGGGAGTTACGTGTTTGAATTTAGCTGCTGCTGCTGAGGGGATGTCTGCTTGGACAGACTCCAATCCACTCTTCTAGGCCTGCACCATCTAGTTTTCTTCAAAGTTGTTTCAAAGTTGGCCTGACTTTGACCTGTAGTGCAGAACAAGTCAGACCTCATCTCTGGCTGACTCCCTCTGAACACATGCTGGCCTTGGTCTTCAGTTCAGTGGCGAAGGAGGTAGGTGGTGAAGAGGAGTTTTTGGGTCTGTGGACAGCACAATGTAGGAATAGTCCCAGGGTTGGAGTGCTCCCCTCCCCCTGCACTCATCCTGCTGTTTAGAAATCTGACAGCCATCACCTAGGGCGAGTGGAAGCTAGCTAGTTCCTATAAGAGAGTTGGACTAGAGTTTGCGAGATAGGAGCCATCTTCTCCTTAGCCTCTACCATCACCCTGCCAAAGTCAGCCATTTCCACACAAAAATATGTGATAGGTCATGCCTGGGGGACTGGCCAAAACCTGAGCACCAGCTTTTGTCCTTACAGGCCCTTCTTCAATTAAGCTGGAGAACAGAGGGGACCTGTCTTTCTTAAGCAAGCAAGCTGAGGTAAGAGGCCTGGTTTAATGGCCACATCAGGGTGGAGGGTCTTGCCATTGGCTCATAAACCTGAGCATGTACGGCTCTTGAATCAAATGTCTTCTCCTAGACCTGTCTTCCTGAGGCAGTCTCTCTTGTCCAGTTGGCCACCAGACTCCACAGGGATCTAGAGAGCCTAACAATCACCAGACCACGTGGCAGCCAGTGTCTTGGATAGATCTCATGATTCTCTGCCCCCAGAGAGGTCCTGGGAGGAGGAGAAGTAATCTGACACCACAGATGGGGCCACTGCTGGGTCGGCTGAGTTTGTTGAGCCTCTGTTGGGGTTGCTATATCTCCCCAGAGTATGAAAGCCCAGGAGAAGCCTCAACCAATTAGACACTTCTTACAAGACACCAAGAGGGAGAGCAAGCGGAAAGGTTCATACAAGAGTGAGAAGACGTTTCGCCAGCTCCTGGGGGAGCTCTACGTGGACAAGGCGTACCTGGAAAAGCTCCTACTGGACGAAGGTTTCTGACACTTGGTCTGCAGCAGGGGACTTGGCCAGAGGACATCTGGGATGGCTGCTTATGCATGAGCCAGAGGCAAAGCTCTTAATAGAAATATTAGTTGGCGTGTATCTTTGGGCAAGTTTTGCTGTCATCTTTATTTTATAGATGAGACAGTTAAGCCACAGAAAGATAAAAGAACTCGACAAAGATCCCACTCCAGTAGGAAGTGAGGCAGCTCAGAGGTGAAGCCAGGAGTTTGGTTTCCAAGCCTGTGCTCTCACAGCTTGTCTCCCCAAAGAGGGGGCATGGCATGGGATGCCCCCCGGCCCTCAGTCGCCACAGCTAAGAGAAACTAGAGGGCAGGTCCTTGGGTATTAGTTAAAAAATATCCCGAGACATTAGCTGGTCCAAATCTCCTTCCATAAGTGAGGAAACAGACCGAGAATGAAAAATAACTAGTACAGGGTGATACGCATGTTTGTGCTGGAGTCAGCTCCATAACCCCAGCCTCTAACCTCTGCTTCAGTGCTTTTAAAAAATGTTACTTTTTCACACTATGCTGTCAGGCTTGCTCACCTGGTCAGAGTAGTTAGAACTGGCAGCAAAACTACTTCAAGACAAGTAGGTAAATATTCAGACCAACTCCCCACCCCAAAGGCAACCCCAGACAGTTCCTGGGATTGAAGAACAGTGTACAGGCCTGTCACCAAGAAGGAGCTCTGGTGGCCTATTGGTAAGAGATGGCACTGCAATCCCAAAGACAAGCTGTTCAAATCCAGCTGCTCCACAGAAGTAGTATGGACTGTCTCATCCTGTGCGATTAACTGCTTCTGAAAACCCGCTGGTGGGTCACCTGTAGGTTGGTTCCGATTCTGTGACGCATCAGCATCCTGTCAGCAACAAAATACAGGACAGAGCATTGAACTCATTGTCTCATACGTGTTGTTGCCGTGAGGTGCCGTCAAATCAACTATGACTCATAGCAACTCTGTGAACAACAGATCTGAACCTGCCCCGTCCTGCCCTGTCCTCACTCAAACCCGTTGTTACAGTCACTTTATCAAGCCATCTTGTTGACAGGCTTCTCTTTTTCTCACATAAACATGAGGTCTTATCAACACCTCATAAATTTGAGTATGCTCACCCGTGGATCAAATGGAGCAGTCCTGCTAGTCTTTCACAGACAGCCCCTCCACTGGCAGCCTCCATGGGGACAGGCCTGCGTGTTGCCCTTCAACCAGAACTGTCTGAGCTTGCCTCTCTGAAGTTGGTCTGAACATTACCCACTTGCCATGATGGAGTTTTGCTCCCAGCTCTTAACCTCTGACCAGGCGGCAAGGAAAGGCTCAGGCACACGCCCTTCCAGTTCCCAGTGTCCACTGGCTCGGTCAGCAGCTGGGGAGTCACTTGGCACCGGAATCCTAGGCCAGGTCATTCCTTTAGACTCAGTCCTCTCTGAGGACACAGCTTCAAATGCGGGATCTTGGAGGGCTTCTCATCCATTCCTCTGCTTCCTCTTGCCTTGCCCTAATGGACCTCTCATTTTTACTCTGTGTCACGTGAGAGCTTGCAAGGAGGCTCTGGCTCCGTCCTGGCCTGAGCAGGCCACTCTGCCACCCTCATGCTCTCACGCTCGTTCTTGCTGTTCTCATCACGAGGACTCCACAAGGCCCATAGCAAGGGCTCCTAGCTAAGAAAAGACTCCTTGGCGAGCTCTGGTGGCCTAGTGGCAAGAAGCTGCACTGCAATCTCAGAGGTACATGGTTCAAATCCACCAGATGCTCTGCTGGAGAAGGAGGAACAATCTCCTCCTGTATCAGTCAGATATGATTTGACGGTACACACAAAAAAATAATGAAATAAAATATAAAAAAAAGACCCCTTTAGACAGTGGTGCTACTTGGCTCTCCTTGTACCCCTTCTCTGCAGACCTGATCAAAGGCACCACCAAGCATGGCCTGACTGTGGAGGACCTCATCATGACTGGCATCAACTATCTTAACATCCGCAGTAACTTCTGGCGGCAGCAGAAGCCGATCTACGCCCGGGAGCGGGACCAGAAGCTAATGCAGGAGAAGTGGCTGAGGGATCGCAAACGCCGTCCCTCACAAACAGCCCACTATATTCTCAAGAGCCTTGAGGACATTGACATGTGTAGGTGGTGCCTCACGTGGTTGCTAGATGCCCCTGGAAGGCTCAGAACACCTGGGCCCCAAGCCGTGGCCAGATGAGGGAATGAGGGGGTGCAGTCACTTGAGTCTCTGGCCCCCCAAACTGTGGGTGGCATCTTGAGAGGGGGAGCATTTTGCCATCCACCCTACTCCACATACTCCCTTTCCCTCCCAGTGCTGACCAGTGGCAGTGCTGAAGGGAGCCTTCAGAAAGCCGAGAAGGTGCTGAAGAAGGTCCTGGAGTGGAACCAAGAAGATGTGCCCAACAGGGATGAACTGGTCGGAAACTTGTACAGCTGCATAGGGAACGCCCAGATTGAGCTGGGGCAGATGGCAGCAGCCCTCCAGAGCCACAGAAAGGACCTAGAGATCGCCAGACAATAGTGAGTTTCCAAAGACAGGCCACATGGCCAGCGCCCAGGGCAGCGGAGGGGGCCGTGGGGTGGCGGCTCAGCCTTTCTTAGAGCTGCTGGTAACTGAACCTCCTCCTTGGAGATGTGCTTTCTTCCCTGCACACCAGATTTTCCCAGAGGTGAGGGCTGCTTGCCCAGGGCTAAGGTTAAGCATCAGACTTAGACTTTTAGCTTTTCTCTTTTTTTTGCTACAAACAGTAGGATAGTGACTCAAAACTCCAAAAATCTGGTGGTGTGGCTCTTGAGAGCATTTTCACACTTACATCGTCTCAGCAAGCATTTATGGAGCCCTAGACCTGGCAGGGAGCTCTGGTGACTTAGTAATAAGGAGTTGTATTGCCAGACCAAAGGACATTCTCCTTCTATACTATTTACATCCCCTGAAAATTCCCTGGACGTTCAGTTATGAGTCACTTTTGACTCAGCGTTGCATAACTGCAATGACAAAGACCTGGTAGATGCTGCCAGCCCAGGGAACACAGTGGTGAACAGCTATATGGTCATTGCCACACAGATGTCAGAAATGAGTGAGCCATTAACTCTAAATGTGATGTCAGAAAGGAGAAGTAGAGAATTGAGTGCTGAGGAGAAGCTAGTCCAGGGATGGACTAGGCTTTGGGAGCATGGCTGGTCTAAGGAATGACCCAGAGGCAGGAAGAAGTGGAAGTCTGGAGAGCATATCTGTGACCGGGGAGGTGCACCCGAGAGGCTGGGAGAAGTGGGCAGGGCTTTGTAAACTGGGGGCTCTGGAATCAGGCAGACCTGGGTTTGAAGACCTGCATCTCTTTTTGGAAGGAGAACTGTGTGAAGTCACATAACTTCCTTCAGCCTCAATGTTTCATCTGTAAAATGAGCCTAGACATAGTACTTCCCTCATGGTAGGGAGGAATGCCTAGATGACATAACACTTAATGTACTTAGCTGCTAAACAGAAAGTTGTCAAGTTCAAGTTCACTCAGAGATACATGCCTTGCAAAAAAAGTCTGGCAGTCTATTTTTTTTAATTAAAAAATAATTGTATTTATGTTCTACATTGTGTTAAAATACTGATTTTCTTATAAATTTTCTACAGACTTTTTAAACATTCTTCACAATGTGTCTTAACTATGTACTTAGAGACTTGCAGGGAAATAGTTCTGCATTTTTATAGCTTAATGTGTACGAAAGGGGTGGCAGGTGGTCACACACAGTCCATGTGGAATTCTAACATAACATTTGGTGAGTTTTCTGATGTGGACCATCTCTTTGATGCTGAAGGCAGTGCATCTGTTCCAAGAAGAGACTATAGTTTTGAATTTCTGCTCTCTGCATTTTCCAGTTTTTCTGTTACCTTTCTAATTAATGTGGAATCTTGTGACCCTGGGATTAGATGCCATCAGAGTTGGCTACTATGTAAATAATGACTATACTGAGACAGAATTAAGGGAAAACCTACCAATAAAGACAGACTTTTCTTGGCTTCAAAGGAACATTTTGGCAATCTCTTTCAGATTGTTGTTGTTGTTGCTATGTGCCATCGAGTTGCCTGTGACTTGTAGCAACCCTGTGTATAACAGCTCTAAATCCTGCTCTACTCTGCCAATCTCATTGTCTCTGACACACATAGCCCCATTACCACAGTCACTGAATCAATCCATCTCATGAGGGTCTTCCTCTCCTGTGCTGTCCTTCCCAAGCATGACATCTCTCTCCAGAAGTACTGGTCCCACCTTGCAACATGTCCAAAGTATGTCAGACAAAGTTTCAGAATCCTTGCCTCCAAGGAGCAATCTGGTCTCACCCTCTCTAGGACAAACCTTTTTGTTCTCCAAGCAGTCCATGGTATATTCAATACTCTTCTCCAACATCACAGCTCAAAGGCATCAATTCTCCTTTTGTCATCCCTAGTCATTGTCCAGCTCTCTAATGCATAGCAAGTAATTGCAAAGACTATGGCCTGCATTAGGCACACTTTAGTCTCCAGACTGACATCATTGTTATTCAGTACTTTGGAGAGGTCTCTGACAGCAGACTTTCCCAATGCAATTCGTCTTTTAGTTTCCTGGCTGCTGGTACCAAGAGTGTTCCTTGTTGGGCTAAGCAAACTAAAGCTGTTTACAATCTCAGTCTCTTCACCATCTATCATGATGCTGCCAGTTGGCCCAGTGGTGAGAATCTCTGTTTTCTTGATGTTGAGCTTCAGTCCATCTTTAAGGCTGTAGTCTTTGACGTTCTGATGTTTCAGTAAGCAGGGTTGTGTCATCTGCATAACGCAGATTGTTGATGAGTCTTCATCCAATCCTGATACCACATTTTTCCTCATATCTTGAAAAGGTATGCAGATAGGACACATCCTTGGCATATACTCTTTGCAGTTTTGAACCATGAAGTGTTTTCTTGCTCTGTTCTGACGACTGCCTCCTGGTCCAAGTATAGGTTTCGCATAAGCACAATCAAATGTTCTGTGATTCCCATTCTTCTCCGAGTTAGCCAGTTTGTTGTGATTCACACAATCAAATGTCTTTGCATAGTCAATGAAACACAGATAGACATTCCTCTAGTATTCCCTGCTTTCAGTCAAGATCCATTGACATTAGCTATAATATCTCTAATACCACAGCCTCTTCTAAAACCAGCTTGCACATCTGGAAGTTCTCTGTTGTGCTGTTCCAGTCATTTTTAGGCAATTTTCAGCAGAATCTTGCTTGCATATGATATTGTTTGATAATTTACACAGTCTGTTGGATCACCTTTCTTTGGAATGAGAACAAATACAGATCTCTTCCAGTCAGATGGCCAGGTGGTTGTCCTCCAGATTTCTTGGCAAAATTGAAAACCTAAAGGGATCACCTTAAGTCAGCACTGACTCAACAGCCACTCCTTGGTTGCTACAACCCAAGTGCATCTGCTCTCCCTGCCTCTGCTGTCTCTTTCTAGCAGATTGTACATATAACTCCCTAGCACATAATGCTTCTCATCTATCACCACTCCTTCCCCTCTGACAAAAAGGTCTTGGCTCCTAATTGCCTGCAAAAGAAAAGTCAAATTCCTGTGCTTGGAATTCAGTGCCTTCTCATGAATCTTTCATTTAGCTCATACTTGGGCCTCCTGCCTCTTGCCCTCTCTTCTTCAGCTATCTAGGCCCCAGATGTTGTCCACTCCCACCTACCTCATTCTTTCCCCCTCCATTTACTGAGCAGGAATATAATCTATGCCATCCCAGAAGCAAACAGGCCTTTGATTTCTGGCTGGGCAGCTTAGACACTTTGTGGACTTGATTAAGTTAATGATCATAAAAGTATCATGGAGGAGGCATCTGGTCTCCTCTAACTTTACAATGGGGAAGGAGAAACAGAAACATCAACCACCCAAGGGTGGAGCTCAGGCATACCTCCTGTCTCTGACCTTTCTGCCCATTCTGACACCAGCACTCCTTCCCATCCTGTGGTGCTCTCACTACTCTGCTGGGTTTGAGAATTTGTTGCAGTGACCACATGGGACACACAGACAGTACTCCTGATGATTGGAATTTACTAGGAAAATCACACTTCATTCAAGATCAGAAACAATTCAGGAATAGTTTTTTAGTCAGTATGTTTTGTTTTTTTTTTCTCCTAGCTGTTTGCCTCTGCCAACAAGTACCTAGAGGCACTTACCCTGCCAGCAGACTTCCTGTCTGGAAGCACAGGGCTCTTTTGCTTTGTGGGCCAGGAAACCTACTACACCACCTTCCTGGTTCTGCCCCATTTCTCTGTAGCTGTTTCTATCTCGTGTCTGATGTTAGAGCTTTCTGTCTCTTTGGTCTCTCGGGTTTTGGTGCCAGGGCGCTGGGCCCAAAGGTTGCCCTCCACTCCTGGTTCTCCTTCTTACATGATTGTGTTGAGGCCGCACTGGTCCACTTCTGGATGGTTCATTTTAATTCTAGCAGGATGGCAAAACCAGTCGATCTCCTCTTTAGGGTTCTATGTCCCCTGTGTGCATGATCCCACCCCCACAAGGGTACCAAGCCACAGACACCTAATTTGCATGGTCTGAGCCTGACATTTAGAGACAGTTCTAAAGACTTGGGCTAGAATGACCATATTACATATTTCACTGCACTTCACTCACCTTCCCATTTTCCTAGGATAATACCAACTTACATAGATTGTGAGAGTCACATAAATCCTTTATCCTGCTAATTCCAAGGTATTTCCCTTCTCATGTCCCATCAACATCCCAAATGCAACATGTCCACATGGAATCCCTTCTTGTCCTGGGATTCCCTATTCCTGAGGGTGGCACTACCACTACACAACCCTCAACCACTATTTCCCAGGCCCTGCTTCCCTCCCTTTCTGCACCCAGATCAGACCACACCCAGCCTTCAATTTCCCAAGGTGTCTTCTCTCCATTTTCCTATCCCAACCTTTTGCTTCTTGCCTGTCTGTCTGATCTAGGTTCCTACAGCCAAGCTGGCCCCTCTGGATAAATCCAGTGGCTGGAATACAGGTCCAGTGTCCTGCTCAGAACACATTGCTCTCCCTGACCTGATTTCTCTGGCTTTCTTTGACCCAGCTTTCTCTAAGGCTCCTGGCTGTTTCACACCCACCATTCCAGAGCTTCATACCATTCACATGCAGGCCAGTGACCATTCTCATGGCTCTGTGCCTGCTGGTTCCTGCAAGGAAACATCTTCTCCAGCCTTTCACATTGCAGTGAGTGCCCCACACACTTCAGCAAAACCTTCCCTGACTGCCACAAGAGCGAGGTAGAAAACCTTCCTTGGCTGTCTCCCCAACCTCCTGTGTGTGTGTTGTCCCACCCTGCTGCACTTGGGCTCTAAGAAGGAAGAGTTTTCTAGCTGCTTTGCTCTCAGCACCTGCCAAATAGGATGTGTGATGAATGTTTGCTAAGTGGTGAGTAAACGCAGGTGTTTCCTAATTAATGTCAGTTCCTGCCTAACATTTACAAGTGGACTTCACCTTACCCTCCAGTCTTGGGCATACTTC